GCACGCGGCACCGCGCGCGCGCTCACAGCTACAAACCAACCTCTGCCGCACGCGCCTCAGCTTTCCAGTTGACCACCGTCAGCCACGCGAACCACGTGACCGACAGCGGCAACCATGTTTCCACGGCACCGTCAGATAAGTGAAGGTCACAGAAACTGGGGAGAGGGGGGCCCACGCGCGTCACGTACACGGCCACGTCCGCGAGTCCAAAGTCGCTGGCAAACACGAGACGATGTTCTGAGGTTCTGGTCCAGTTCGACCCGCTTAAAAAAACAAACTAAAAATGTTCACATATGTAAGAGGCCAGAGCTGCTAGCCTGGATTCCAACGGTTTCCCCACAGCCGCGTGCCGGGTTCGCGTGGGTTTTGTAACAATTACGTGTCCCCCACGCGCAGACGCCTGAACGTGCCAGCAGCTCGACACCAACACGAGGCCCCATAGCCCCCCGGTAGCCCCCCCCTGACCTTCAGGCCAGGCCGGGGCTCGCTCCGTGGATGCGGCTATGCGGACAACCCGGAGAGGACACCGTGTTCTCCGGGCTTTCGTTGCCAGGCTACCAGCTAAATGTCCCGGCGAATTGAGAGCGGGCCGTGAACTCACCATCCCGGGGCGACCTGAGGGCTGCCCTCCGGGCCAGAGGCCCACACCTCTGCCAGGCCGCTCTGCAGGAAAACATGCTGCTCTCTTCGGGGGCGACGGTCACACACGCACTGCGGGGCTGGCGGAGTCCGGAGGCGGGGAGCGAACCTGCGTCCTGCCCTCTCCTGCGGAGCTGCGATGTATGAGGGGCGAGTAGTGCCGCCACGGAGCTATGAGGGGCGAACCGTGCGCAGTACGGCGGTCACGTGCAACGGCACGTACCACTGCTGATATAAAAACATTAAATAAACATGTTTGGCAATACAGTGGAACCTCTACATACGAATTTAATCCGTTCTGGGACCTACTTCGTATGTTAAAATACTCGTCTGTTGGTTCAAATGTTCCCATTAGAATACAATGTAATTCACATAATTTGTTCCACAGCTCAAAAACCTACGATAACTCCTTAATAAATACAGCATATAATTACACATAGCAATAAAACAAATGCATTATGTAAGAGATATGTAAAAAGAAATTAATTATTAATAAATAATCGATACAAAATTGGGTTTTATTTCGTACTGAAATTAGAAGAAATGCTTAAAAGCAACCAGGAGAATCCGGTCAAATAAGTTCTTTTGACAGTTAAAATGTTTCAAGCTTTTTATTATTCATGAAGCTTCATTATGTAACTGTACGATTATTCATATGAGGACTCCTTTATGTCAGAATGATCCATATTTATAATTTCAGGGGACTTTTATTATTTTTCGTCTACTTTGTTCCATAACATACATTGGAAGGGTGCCGAATCATTTGGATGCAGAGATAAACCAACTCAGCTCAACTCTAAAAAGCCGCATGCTGGATATGCGGTACTTTAGGGGTTTTTTCCTTCACTTCACCTTTTTCAAAGATCCGGCAGATCGCTAAAAAGCCGGGCCTCTAGTGTGGTTCAGCATTTTGAGGCCTATGAGAGGGTTCTTTTCTTTCTCAGTAGGTATGCATTGCGGCATTTAGATATTCTTGGAGACTTTTAGATGGTCCTCAGTGGCAAAAGGTTTATGTTTCTGCAATTAGCCGACGCTTTTATCCAAAGCGACTTACAAAGTCGTAGCATTGGTGTCACAATTTCATTCTTTTGTTTCTTTGTAACTCTTTCTGATTTGAGTGTTTCATTTACCTTCTCTACAAAAAAAGTTCCACTATTTCCATTTTGCTGATCCTCCATTAGTTTTCTTGCGCAATAAGGCAAAACCCTCTGAAAACCTTCATATTTCCTGCTGCATTTTACAAATCTACTACAATAAACTGTTGCACTGTTACTTTTATTTCCTGTATATCATTAATTTCATTCTGTTGAACCTATGTCTAATGTGTTTTTAGTTTCAATGTATGACATATATGGATATACATACATGTATAAAATAAAAAAACCTTTGAATTGTGTTGTACAGGAGGTGTTCGGTACAAATGCGTTTTTTGCTTTGAGCGTTCAGACCTGCTGAACTGAAGAAGCAGGCTTCCTTTATCGTTGGCAGCAGCACTGTTTACCCCTCATACCCCATGGTGAATTTCTCTTTCTGGGGAAGGTCAAATGGGACCTGTGCTCATGATGTTCCCCAAACTGTGATTCTAATTTTAACTCTAAATCCTTCTACCTTATTTAACAGCATTTTACTATCAATATGTCTTCTTGATAACATTTTATACTTGTGTTTAGCTATTTAAATCCAGTAGGAACTTCACAGAAATATAAGATGTACTTGTAGGAAATACAAGATATCAAATTCCATTATGATGGCGATAAGAATGAAAACACATAAGATGATAAAAGACAATTATTTTCTTTTCAAAATCAGATTCTCTTTAGTTATGCTGCTGGTGCTCTGCACTCTGCAGGGACTTCTACAGACTGTATACCTCAGTATGCAGGTAGAAAAGGATCTGTGCAGTTTTCTTTCAAAGTGAGCCCTCAATGAAGAAGCACCAGCTGTCTAATAATACTAAAAAAAAAAAGCTCCTTTAGTCCCTGCCAGCATGTCTGGACTGGAAATGACTTCTTTCTGGATTAGGGTTTAATGTGGAAATATGTCTGGCAGACTTTCATGTTAGTGGTTGGATGAAACCTGTGTCACTAACTGACTTTACAGAAAATAAAAGAAGACAAAATTCATGATTGAATCATTTTAACATCATAAACATTTAATTAACTTAAATTGAGGGAATAGAGGTGACAGAAAGAGAAGCAAAAAAACGACTTCCCAAAGACAGGATGTAGTGGCCTCCTGTGAGAGACAAAAAAAGAACAGATTAGGATTTTTTTTTTTTTAAACATTTGACTTATTTGTTCATTTATTGATTTTCAAATGTTTGGTATAAATTACTGGATGATCTCTGAAGCCTGGCACACAGGGACTTGCTCCTTAATGAAAGGGGAGACCCTCACCTGCCACTCTGGAGAGTTACTGAAGGCCATTCCTCACTTTGTACTCGTGCACGTCTGTGCTGTGCTGTTTGAAGAGCTGCAGGTGGAAGACCGCAAGCATCTCATCAGTCACAAGTAAACCCCCCCCCCAGAATCTCCTTTCAGAGTGATGATTGAATTCCAAGGCGAGAAGTACAAGTAAAAACCAAACACTAATCTCAACAGAAAACCATTTTAAATTGTCAAATCTCTCTTTCTTTTTTAAATCCCTGAACATGTAGCAAGAAGTTAACGTTAAAAAAGGAAAAAGTGGCTTACAGAAAGTCGTTAATGTCAAGAAGTGTGTAAAGAGCCCTAACAGAGGCAGACTGACGGGAGTAAAGCTGAGAAAAGAGTCACCATGCTGCTAATTGTTAAGCTCAGAATGACAGCAGCTTTGAAAAATGCCCCAATGTCACTGTAAACTAGAACTAAACGCAAGTCACGGATTTATTAAATAGTTTCTGCTTTCATAGTACAGTAGAACCTCTACATAAGAATTTAATTTGTTCCCGGGACCTACTTCGTATGTTAAAATATGGGTATGTTGGTTCAAATATTCCCATCAGAATACACTGTAATTTGTATCATTGTTCCAAAAACCTGTGATAACTCCTTAATAAAAACTACAGATAATTACACATAGCAACAAAACAAATGACCTATAGAAGAAAGATGTAAAAAAGAATATTTATAAAGAAATAATGGAGACTGAGATACAGGACGTACCGTAACTTACTCTAACTTTGACAATGTGAACTTTAAACCAACTTAGCTAGTTTATTCTTATATTTCATCTATTTTTTCCTATGACTTCGACGTCAAATTGACTTCGGGTGTCGAGCCAAATATTTGATCGAATTTCACTTCGGATGTTGGAAAATTCAGGCAATCGGAGGTAGAGGTTCTGCTGTAGAGGAATATGAAAACGTCAGATGTGGGTGAACCAGAGCATTCCTCTGCAGTGGGGGGTGGCGGGGGCCATCGGTACCTGCTCAGCACCTCACAGTATTTCTGCATTTCCTCTGGGGGCTGACCCCAAAAAGGCTGAACCAGGCTGAGCCCAGGTTCCACCAGGTTCTACCTGAGCCCAGCAGGTACCAATGGACCCCCCCCCCCCACCCTCCAGACGGTTGTGTGTGGGGCAGATGGCGGGTCTCATTTACCAGGCCCCACAGGAAGGCAGACGTCCCAAAGGCCAGACCCACTCGCAGCCAGTTGGGGTTGGCCGTGTCAGGCTTGGAGCTGGTGAACGCAGACCTGGATCCCACTGAAACACAGCCAAGTGTTAGAGGGTCCACACAACTTTAGACGATAAAGGAACACAACCAGTGCAGGAAAACAATCAGATTTAGCCCAACAACAAAGGCAGTGACAGCTCCCTTAGCTGAAGCACACACACAAATGCCAACTAATTATCAAAAAAGCAAGCTTTAAAGTTGACCCAAGTCCTCTAATATCAGCTCTTTTTTAAACGTTTTACGAAGCATGCAATACTTCCTTTGTTAAAAATATAATTTTGCACGAACTGGTCAAAAACAATCACGTTGAAAACAACATGTTAGTAAAACAGACGTCTAAAAAACAACGGAAGCTTTGAGGCCGTCAAACAGCTAACAGAATGCTAAGCTAAGGTCAAGTTTTCAAACAAGCACAGGGTTTTTCGACAAAGGAAAAGAAAGCACGTCTCAAAATAGTAACTTCGACTTCGTATGGAGGTAGTCCCGTTTTATATTTGATTTTTTACCTCTGCTAACGAGCGCAGTTCGCGACAGTAACGTGGTGAAAGACATTTTAGCTGAAACTCGGAGCCCTCACGTCGAACGTTTAATCCGAGCGACGGTACTCGATTAAAGCGGCCGGAAGGTCTGACTAACGGAGCGCAGAGAAGTCGAGCAAAGCCCGGTGGTCAACCACATAAAAACACCCATTTTATTAGAATACAAACCCTGTTTAATATTGACTCAATTATAACCAACTCAGTTACAATCAATTTTTGTTTAGAAATAAAATCTAAAATGACTTCCTCCTTAAAACGGACTAGTTAGTCGCTCGATTAAAACGAAAATAAAAGGCGGTGAACCGAAGTAGAAACTTTATTCAGCTTTCATCCACAAACTATTTGCTTTATTGACACTTATAGCAACATATGTTGGATATTATAAAATGTCTTTTCCCAGTGATTTTAGATTAGGACTGTGTTGGTTACGTTAGAAACGTCTGGAGTCGCTACAAACATAGGCAGCCCATAAAAAGACAGCCATATATTTGGTTGTAACGTTTATTTTGAGCATTTTTAAATCGCGACTTTGTGCTCGACGTGCCGGACCGGTGTCTGTCACGCAGCCTCAGACAGCCTGACCCGGAGGAGAAGCGCGGCGGCCATTTTGCTCGGAAGGGGGGCCTCGGCTTCAACACGTGAGAGAGAGAGGAGCCCGAAGAGACCGAAACACGCCGGGATATTATTCATGTGTGGACCCAGAGCGGCATAGGAAGCCAACACGATGCCCACCATCACGCTGCCGCCGAAGGAGAACGCTCTCTTCAAGAGAATCCTGGTAGGCTGAGCGGCCCGTTAGCGTTAGCTTGCCGGCTAACGCTGCTTTACCAAGCGGTCGCGCGCTGTAGCAGCACGAGCTAGCTGCCCGTGGGGCACAAAGCGCCTCGCTATCTCCCCGTATCTCTCGCCAGCCGTTAGCCGTTGGACCGCGGCGTGTCCGGCGGTTCGGACGGGCTGTCACGTGGCCCCGCGCGCCGTGCCTCGGCCTGGCCACACACCCAAAGTGGATCAATGACAAAGCGTTTGACACCTGACAGCGACGAGCAACTTTGGTGCGCGTGGGCGCCTGCGCTCCCCCGGTTCAAAGTTTGCCCCGTAACGTGGAAGTGGCGTGACTTCCAGTCGTGTCGTGGGTTTCGTGGTGGCATAAACACACTCACACACACACACACACACACACACACAAACAGACACACAAACACAGGAGGGACCTTCACGTGTTAATGTGACCGAGAGTCTTGTTTACAAGCGACGGTTGTTGGTCTGTCAGTCCTGTCTGTGTGGGGCTGGACCTGGAAGGTACCGGGGTGGGAGTGTGTGTGTGTGTGTGTGTGTGTGTGTGTGTGTGTGTGTGTGTGTGTGTGTGTATTTGCGCGTGCGTGTGCACTCGTGCAGGTGTCAGGCCACTTTGATCCCAACTCAATAGCCTTCCATCACATGCGTCCACTTCTAAGCTGCTAGTGTCCCACCGACTGGACTGTCAGGAGTGTGTGTGTGTGTGTGTGTGTTTGTTTGTGTGTGTGTGTGTTTGTGTGTGTTTGGGGCCCGGGCAGTATAACCGACCCTCCGCTCTGTCCTCTCTTCCAGAGATGTTACGAGCACAAGCAGTACAGAAACGGCCTGAAGTTCTGCAAGCAGATCCTGGGGAACCCCAAGTTTGCAGAACATGGAGGTAAGACGCCCCCCTCCCCCCCCCCCCCGGTCTCAGACTGAGCTGGGTTTAGGGTTAGGACTGGTGAGAACAGATGCTAACAGGGATGAGGAGCTGCCACCTTCACCCCGCCCGGCCTCCTGACCACACCACGTCGGGCAGCTCCTGCTGCTCCACATTCCTGCCCCGCTGGCCCGTCTGTTATCGTCTCCGGGGAGGGAGGAGTCGGGCGTGTGGCCCGGACTGAATAATGAAAACTGAGGCTCAGTGTGCAGCCCTCAGCGACTGGTGGAAATTCTGGGCTGAATGGGAGAGCGGCGGCGTTTCCAAACTTTCTCCTGAGAGGCATCCTGTGAATCCTCACCAGAGGTTAAAGTCCACCTGTCTGCTCCTGTGGAGGGTTTCGATCGGACGTTTTTCAGCTCATTTGGACACTAAATCTTGTGAGACAACATCGATGACCGGAGTTAAAAATGAAACGGCTGAGCGCAAAGAGCGACAGCAAACTGCAGCCGTGTGTGGATTAGCTTGTGTGGATAAAGCGGGGCTCCTCCTTCATGGAGCACCAGAGCGCCTCTTTGGTCTCCAGCTTCCGTTCTTGTTGTTCATCTTGAAGCTTCCGATTAGAAACGCAGGGTGTCTCCCACTGTAGGAGGCCAGTATGAAGGCAGCAGCAGGCCCCAGCAGGAGGCCAGTAGGAGGCCAGTAGGAGGCCAGTAGGAGGGCAACAGGAGGCCAGCAGGAGGCCAGCAGGAGGCCAGCAGGAGGGCAGCAGGAGGCCAGCAGGAGGCCAGCAGGAGGCCAGCAGGAGGCCAGCAGGAGGCCAGTAGGAGGGCACCATGAGGCCAGCAGGAGGCCAGTAGGAGGCCAGTAGGAGGGCAGCTGGAGGCCAGTAGGAGGGCAACAAGAGGCCAGCAGGAGGCCTTTAAGAGGGCAGTAGGAGGGCAGCAGGAGGCCAGTAGGAGGGCAGCAGGAGGCCCC